GTGTGTGTGGCCAGCTCAGCCCACCAGGGGGCGGGGCTGGCTGGCATGTGGTGCTGGGGGATTGAACGGCGGTCCCTGTGCTTTGTTAAGCTTGTTCTAAGTAGGTGCTTTAGACCACTGAGCCATCTCACCAGCCCCTCCTGACCCTTTTTTTTTTGTTGTTTATTTATAGACCTGGTCTCCCTAAATCACTGAAGTTGCTCCAGCTGGGCTCCAACCTGCCATTCTCCTGCCTCAGCTTCCCAGAGTGCTGGGACTACAGGCATGCACATGGTCCCCAGTGCCACCCAAGGTTTTGGGTTTTTTTGCTTGGCCGAACTGGGGATTGAACTTAAGCCCTTGCGCTTGCCAGGGAAGAGCTTATTCCACTGAGCCATCTCCTTGGTCCAACCCAAGTTTAAAAGTAGTGGCACAAACTGTGGGCTCCAGCCATGTGAGAGCTCTCATTGCCTGCGTCCTTAAGGCTGACTCAAGGCCTTGTCAGTCTGAGAGTGAAAACCTCAGCTGCATACAGAAGCCGGCTGAAGCTCTCAGATATGTAATTGCAGTGAATGCTGGAGGAAGCCCCATCTTCAGGAGGCTTCGAGTAGGCAGGATGCGTGGGATGCTGTGGTTAGCAGAACAGGGGCCGGTTCTGGGGTGCTTTGTGCAGTTCCTTAAATGGGGCGCTGGCTATAGATTTAGCCTCTCCCTGAACACCGGCCAGGCCACACACCTGGGATCTGTGCACTCTTCCACGTGGTGTCCCCTTGGTTATGGTGCTGGGCGGGAGGCAGGGCCCTGCGCATGCCAGGCAAGCGCTCACTGTGGAGTGACCAGAGCCCAGTGCACAAAGTGCTCCCGCTGGAGCTCTCCTCTCCCTCCCTCTGCCATCTTTCTTCACAGCCCTTGGTTGGGCTCTGTGCCCATCAGAGGCCCCTTCATGGGGGTGACCTGGGTGGGGGGGGACAGGACCTGGTCGTGGCTGTGTCTATGAACAGGCTCCTTCTCCCTCCCATTGTGTGGAACGGGGGTATCATGGAGCTGGCCCATCGCCACATCCCAGTCTGGGGCTTGGCCCTTGACGGGCACCTGGGGCAGGACGAGGTGGCCTCTCTGGTCCCCAGCTGAGAGCAGGTGCTGCGCCTGCCAGTGGCCAGCTAACAGTGCCTGGCCCTACAGGTGACTGGCTGGTGACCCACAGGCCCTCCACAAAGTTCCCCAGGACTCTCCTTCCACCTGCTCTTTTAAAACTTGTAATAAAAGTGTATATAACATCAAACTGACCACTTTAAGGCCTTGAGAGGGAATGGCCCAGTGGCATCGTACAACCGCCTCCATCGTCCAGCATTATTAGAACGTGGGCTGCTCTCGGACTGAAACTGTGGCTGCCTGCTGGTGGTCAGCTTGTAACACCAGCTGAACTGAACCGGCATGGTGCTGGGTGTGGGAGGCCCCCGAGGGTGGCTGCCGGCAGGCAGCGTAAGAGGCAGAGCCGGAGAAGAAGGAACGGCTTTGTAGTCTCCACCACTGACCTGTGGGCCTTCCCAGTGCAGATCCGGGCATCAGGCATTGGGCATCGGGCCTGCACGACACATTGTTTCAGGCTCTTGGCCTCCAGCTGGACTCCTGGGAGGCATGGTGGTGGGATCCCCGCCCTGGGCTGAAGTATTTTGGTCTTTAGTGTGTGTACAGATTCCCCACACTCTTTGTGTATCACTCTTTGTGTGACTATTACAAAACGATCTTATAAATATGTGTCCTGTATTACTTCCCCTTGTAAATCACCAACTATAAATATGTCCATTAAATAAATACAAACTTCTACTCCTTTGCCCTCGCTTCTGTACTCCTCTCCTTCTGTGGACCTTACCGAGTCTGGCCGAGCCTATGTCCCTGGAATAAGAAACAGCACACGTTGGGAGGCTGAGGCAGGAGATCGCTGCAAGTTTGAGCCCAGCCAGGATATACACGGAGCTGAAGGCCAGTGTGAACCACAGGGCGAGACCGTGTCTCAAAACACCAGAAACAAAACAAACAAAAGCACACATATGCTGGAGGAAGGGGCTAGCAGACCACAATGCCACTGAATAAACAAAAGCTGAGGAATATGATTTAAGCCTGGGTCACCCCTTAGGTTAGTAAATTCTCTACGTTCAGTGGCTGCCACGATACCTAGCATGTGGCTGGGCCCCAAGTCTACCTGTTGACTGAATGAAGCATTAATGTCTCTTCTCACGCTAACGAAACACTGGCTCTTACGGAGGCCTTGCCCTTTTCCACACACTTAAGAAAGGGCTTTAAAATCTACCCGCCCCTCAATATCATTTCTTCATTCTGTGAGTGTTTCACCTTCAGCCCAGCCTCAGTTACCTTCTCTGGTAACTTTTCATTTTATTATTTTTTTTAAAGAGGGAAAGGTTCATTTAGCTCTGTTTGTTTTAAAGTGAGAAACAAGTTCATAGACATTCTGCGTCCTGCCGGAGGTCACACAGACAGCTGTGGACGCTCCTGGAACGCGCTGCTTCAGAGCTCAGAGGCTTCCTATGCATTTTGCAATGCCTTCCCATGTCTGTGATCCCAGAGGAGATTTCTGACCAGTTTTTACTTTTATTGAAATAAAACTATGTTTCTTTTCTGATTTTTTTTTTTTTTTTTTTTTTTTTTTTTTTGAGTCAGGGTCTTGCTTTGTGTAGTTCAGGCTGGCCTAGAACTTGTGGCAATCTTCCTGCCTCAGCCTCCCGAGTCCTGAGATTACAAGTGTACCCCATCGTGCCTGGCCTTCTCTGAATTTTTGGAAACTCATGTACTCTTTATTTTTATTTATGATCTTTCCGGCTCAGCCTCCCACGTAACTGGGATTACAGGTGTACACCACCATGCATGGCTTTTAAAAAAAAAAAAAAAAAGCCAGACATTATAGAAAGTGAAAATCGGACTTTAAGAAGCCTTAAGAGGCTTTTTAGGGTATGTGCCCAAGCTTCACGGCTACCCCGCCCGTGCATGGGTAGCAGGACTGGGAGGCCAGCTTCTAAACTGAGGTTCGCCTCCAGGTCCAGAGATGACGCGTTCCACCAGTAATGTCCAATCCTCTCACCCCTGCAAACCCCTGAGAGAACAAAGGGGTGGGGAGGCCCGATTTCCATCCAGGTTTGTTTCCAGTGCGGTGGATGGCCACCCACGGCCAGGCACGGGGCGGTTTTGTGAGTATTGCTTTCTTACAGGGACTTGGGTGCAATAAGGAAGCTGTCAGCTGAAACTGGTTTTTTCTTTCTTTCTTTTTTTCAGGTGAGGTGAGCTAAGTCTGCTATCACCCTGGAGCGGGCAGGCCTGGCAGGGGCCAAAACAGGTGGCGTCAGGTGGGCGGGGCCCTGCTCCTGAGAGTGACTCGCCCCAAGCTGTTTCTAGGAGACAGCCCTATATAAACCCGAGTCCCAAGACACTGGCCACTGCCAGCCACAGCAGCAGCGTCTCCCTGAGAGAGCCGGAGCAGCCACTCTCAGACCCAGCTCCAGCTAAAGGAAGCACTGTCCAACACCGAGCCCTGGGTCTGGAGACCCAGCTCAGGGTGTCCCCAGCCATGAGTGACTTCCGCGGTTCAAGGTAGGTGAAACGCTACCCTCTTCTTTGGGGTCCAGAGAGGACTAGGTAGGTAGCTTGGGGTCCTGAAAGGAAAATAGACCCAGGAGTCAGGCCTTGAACCTAGACCTCTGATCTGCTGTTAGCTTGCCAAGCTCTCCGCTGGCCTCAGTTTCCCTGGCTCTAAAGTGATGGAGCAGGATTCAGTGCTGTGATCGCCCTCAAAGAGCTCAGAGGGGCTGGTGAGATGGCTCAGTGGTCTAAAGCACCTACTTAGAACAAGCTTAGCAAAGCACAGGGACCGCGGTTCAATCCCCCAGCACCACATGCCAGCCAGCCCTGCCCCCTGGTGGGCTGAGCTGGCCACACACACACACACACACACACACACACACACACACAAATAAATAAATTAATTAATTAATAAAAAAAAAAAGAGCTCAGAACCAACTTCGATTTTCGACCCCAGAACTCAGCTCCCACGCTGTTAGGAGCCACCACCCTAAGCCAGGATTCCACTTGCTTAGGCCTCAGTGTCCTCATAGGTCCAGTGGGGGCAGCTTCCTGTGTACCTGACACTGGTTACAGACAGGATGGGAAGGTGGGCAGTGAGGGGGTCTCCATTCGAATGGGAGGAGTTATGGTGGCTGTTAAGACTCTGTGCTCTCTGAGGTTCTGGAAGTTGGTTAAGGACAGGGAGGTTTTTTTAAAAAAGGAGTCTGGTGGCCTGCTAGGGGACACAGAGGGCAGGCTTAGAGGATGAGCCATCGGCCACTGCTCCTCATGTAACGCTGTGGCATCATCAGTGGTCTTGGCTAGGTGACATAGTGGGGTGGAGTGGTGGAGGGGGACAACCTCCAGGTGGGCTGGAGAGAAGTGGTGATTGTTTTGGGGTCCTCCAGCTTTCTGAATGACATCCCTTGGGGTACCACCCAAGTGTGCCCCATGGTGCCTGAAGCCTTGCCTTTAGGGTGGGTAAGGGTTAAGGGCAGTGCTGTGTGGGGGTCCTGCTGGGCCTGCAGAGCTTGGGTAAGAACCCCCTGTCCCTCCATGCTTGGGCCCTATGCTACAGTGGCAGAGACCAGCCAGGGGTCTCTAGGGGAACGTGTGACAGGTCTGGAACGCCCTAAGGATCCAGACATCAGGGTAAAAGGGCAACCCATATCTCCAGGGGCAAGCTGGCTTCTCCTAGTGTATGAGGGATGACCACTACCAGCCTGACTCAGCTAAGGCAGATGTCCCCTGAAGTCCAGGTCAGCCACTGCAGCCTATTCACTCCGGGAGGGATGTGACCACGTGGTCCAAAACAGGCTGCAGGCCTCCTGCTAGGAATGTGGCTGAGAGATTCCCACACACAGAGGCGGGCCAGGCCCTTCCGCATCCCCTCCCTAGGAGCCTGTGAGGGGCCCCAGGAAAGAGTGCCCACTTGGGGCAGTCAATGTGGAACACCTGGCAGGCAGGTGTGGAGCAGGGTGCATCGTTGTCACTGGACAAGCTGACCACTTGTCCCCTCTCCGGGGCCTTGTGGAGGTTGAGGCTTTCCCAGGGTCCAGGTGGCTCTGTGTCCAGGGTCCAGGGAAGCAGATGCCCAAGCCTGGGGATGTGAGGACGTGTGGTTGTGCCGGGTGGTGTCAGGTACATGTGGTATAGTAGCCTTTGCCAGCCAGCAGGAAGCCTCGGGTCAGCTCTCCTAAGTGTGTGTGTGTGTGTGTGTGTGTGTGTGTGTGTATGCGTGTGTGTGTGTGTATGCGTGTGTGTGTTGCAGGTGTATACGTGTGTAGGGGAGAGAAAAAAGGACTCAGGGAGAAGGCTGGTTGTGTTCACACATCTGGGTATTGTGTATCCATTCCAACACTCAAGGCTCCCAGAAGCAGGAGGGGAGGGAAACCCCAACTGGCTGGGGGCTGATGGCAAACGACCAGCTTGCTCATCCGATTGTTCACCTTGCACTTAGGGCAGAGGACATTCCAGTCTGAGCTTGTGCGGGTCCTGCAGGTACCCGAGTGTCTGTGCCAGAAGTCCTCATGTGTGCCGCACATGCTGTCCCCAGTCTTAACTCTCTGCCCGCTGGGTGAAGGGCAGGTGAAGGAAGGCGGTGACATCACTAGGCCTCAGGGCCAGGTGGAAAGAGCAAGGGACCAGGCAACTGCAAGGAAACAATCTAGAGATGAGGTCAGCGGACAACTTAGAAAATAAACGAAAGGCAGCCTCGTGCTGGGAAGGGCAGGGGCCTGCCGCTCTGGGTCAGCCTGCCACGGCTGGACTTGGTCCTGTGTGACATCATGCCTCAGCAGTCCTGTGATCTGCGGATCCCCGGGAATTTCTGGGTTGGTTTGGACTTTGCTCTGGAATCTGCCCTCAATAAACATGTTTACAAGATCAGCTCGGTCTCCAAGCAGGAGGGTGGGTGGCCAGGGCGGCGGGGATTCCCTGAGAGTCTAGCTTGGCTACAAAACAAGAAAAAGGGGAAGAGACAAAGCCCTGCTTTGCTGAGTCCTGGAGAAGCAGGATTTTACGCTCAGACCATCCAGGAAGACTGCAAGGTGGCCAGTGCAGAATGGGAAACGCGGAGCAAACCGGAAGTCTCCTCTGAGCCCAGCACGGTGCCGTGCACCTGTCTTCCCAGCCCTCGGAAGGCTGCGGCAGGGGATCGCCTTGGGTGCTCCCTGCTTCCACGTCAGTAGTAGCACCTCTGGCGGGGTCCAGCCACAGGTTGTTCCAAGGAGCAGGAGGCCACGCCTAGGCAGTTCTCCTGCCTGGAGGACCCAGGCAGGTTCTTTTCCTGCCATCCAGAAAGGACCAGAGGGGAACTGAGAACACCTGGGACAGAGCCAATTGTCCAAGGTGCAGCAGATGGGCTGGGGAAACCTTTCATGGTGGGACGCCTTGGCTGTTCTCAAGAGAGGTGGCAGCATGTTGTCAGAAGGTGGTGGCCAGATCCAGTACTGGCAAAACGGTTTCCATAGTGATGGAAGCTTTTTCAAACATGGCTGCCCCTCTGTCCCCATCAGCTGGGTGTGGGTGCTCTGACCTCTGTGGGCTGGGCCCCCCCCAAAACCAAGCTTGTGCAGGAAGAAGAGGGGCTGAGTGTCACGCAGGGGTCCTGTGCCTTCTGCTCCTTCACTTTCCTGCCAACCCATTCACTTTGCTCTGACCATCGAGTACATGGGAGAAGCAGAGAACCCTGACCCTGCTTTGTAAACATTTCTGGCTGCGCTCAGTTTGATCTTAAAATCAAAGAGGTGCTGCGCACCTGCTGTGGGTGGCCTTGTGCACACCTGTAATCCCAGCACTAGGGAGACTGAGATAGGAGGATCACTGTGCGCTCGAGGCCAGCCTGGGCTATATCGTGAGTTCAAGGCCAGCCTGAACTACATTGTGAGACCCTGTCTCAAAAAACAAACAAAACAAAACATCAAATAGTCCTGCAAATTGAAATTTAACTTCTTTTAAGACTGTTATTAAAGAGAGCCGACGGCAGTGCGCCCCCTGGCCAATGCTGCCCTCCCCGGCCCCAAGATGGCCAGGTATTCTCACAGCTCTGTGGCCTTCACGCCTGTCTCCCTGGCACCGAGCACAGCTCCTGGTGCACGGCGGCAGCTTGGGCGGACCCGAGAGCGCTGTTCTCCCTCGATTTCTCCTGAGCCCTGGTGCCGCATCTGGGAGCACAGCCAGGCTCAAGCTTCCAGAATAGGAGGCGAGCTCCAGGCCAGCTGCAGGTGTGGATCACTCTGTCCCCGAGGCGCACACACGGTCCTCCCAAGGCCCGTCCAACAGCACATACGGGCTGCCTGCCAACTCACCACCTCCCTCTGCCTGGGCCTAACCTTTCCTCCAAGGCCCCCCATGGCAGACAGCCAGGATGCTGGTGGTCCCGACGGCCTTGGCCTCTGGTCGCCCTGAGCTACAGCCCCTTACCTTCCTTCCTCCTCAGGTTTGGGCCCAAAGGAGGAGGGGAGGTGTCTTCTCGTCACCCTCAACTCTCTAGAAAACTGTTTTTCTTACTACTTCTTTACTTGCTTAGAAACAGGGTCTTGCTTTGTCGTTCAGACTGGCTTCAAACTTGCGAGGTAGCCCAGGCGCACCTCGAACTCACAGTGATCTTCCTGCCTCGGCCTCCCGAGGGCTGGGGTGACACGGGTGAACCCCACCCCCGGCTCCTTCCTACTCCCTGTGTGCCTTTCTGACATCCCCATACCTTGCATGAAACTGCATCACGGATGCTCATTTTTGCCTCCAGCTTCTGAGCTGGACATATTCATCGAGTACCTTTTAGAACAAATGGATCGGTTGCTTAAGGCAGGGGATATGGTTTAAATGCATAATTTACACCCCACACCACTAACTAAATACTACTTAGTGATGAAGCTGTAGCGGCAAAATGCAGGAGACAGCCCATGGACTGAAACGCCACAGGAGTTTCTGGGAGCTCAGGCTAGGGAGTCAGAATCATATTTTAGTTCTCTTTTGATTTCTACTGAGGGCTTCTGAACGCATTCCAGAAGGCTAGAAAGCCCCAGGAGCTTTAGATTCAGTACACACAAATTAAGCACAGTGCCCAGACCCAGCCTGCTCCAGGCGCTGCCAGCTGGGCGTGGGGGTCCTTTGGCCCCTTCCTTTAGCAGCTGCTTCGTAGGGCCCTGGGGGTCTGGGGATGGGAGTAGCCTGAATGTCCTCATTGCGTGTTAAGCGTGGCTGGAAGCCACCTTCCGTACTGTACAGTTCGCTGTTTGTGCTGTGCGTGTATCCACGTGTTTAGTAAGCGCTTACTGTGTGCCAGGCATTGTGCAGGGCTCCCAGGACACAAGCTTTGCTACGCAGGCAGAGGGGAGGGAGTGCACCTTAGATGACGGACAAACACAAGGTGTGTGGGCTCACGACCACGAGGGGCCTACGGAGTGGGGAGAGGGGACGCTAACGGGACCTGAAAGGGAATGGAGAAGGTGGCGTTTGAGCACAGCCCGGAAAGAAGTGAAGGAACAAGCCATGAGGCTGCTGGGAAGGAACATTCTAGAATATTCTGATCAGAGTGAAGGCCCTGCAAGCTGGGCCATGTGAGTAGAGTGAGGTGTTTGAAGGTGACCAGGGCCTGGCTGTGCAGGCCTCTGAAGAGCCTTGGGCCTGAGTGGAAGCGGCACCATTGGAGGCAGGACAGCAACATGCTTGAACGTGTTTTTAGGGCCCCTGTGGCTGCTGAGGGGAGGCCGTGGAGCAGAAGGCAGAGGTGGGCAGGGTGGAGGTGGCAGCAGCAGCTGACCTGCTCTGGAAGGAAGGCCAGTAGGCTTTGCCGACGGGTCAGGTGTAGAACTGAGAGAAAAGAGTCAGTCAGGGCTGTGCTCTTGGCCTTAGCGGTCAGAAGCTCAGAGGCGCCATCTACAGAGCCGTCCCAGGAAATATTCACAGTGGCCTGGAGGCTCTGGGCCCCCTTCTCCAAATCCCAAGATGAGTAAACCTGGCTCTGGCTCCAGTGTATTAGTTTCCTGTTGCTGCTGTAACAAAATCTGGTAAAATAAACAAAATTTGATTACCTTTTGTTCTGGAGCTGGAAGTTCAAAGTCAGTCCTAGAGGACAGAATGCAGCCAAGCGCAGCGCCGTGCTCCCCTGAGAAGCTCTGGAGGGGCTGCAGCCAGCGTAGAAACTGGTGTCCTGCTCTGGAAAGGGAGGCATGGCGACACCCCGTCTCTGGGGTTATAGAGGGCTATACACAGCACGGCAGCTTGAGGAAAATGTCACCTGGAGAGGCTAACATCTGGGTAACGAGGGGGCGGGGTCCTTGCCTGTGGGCCTCTCCTAAGGGAGCTGTTTGTTTTGGTTGTAGCCAGATGGAGGACCCTCGGAGAACCCAGTCCTTGGACAGGTCACGAGCCTCCAGGAAGGACTCTGAGTCACACAGCTGTCAGTGCCTCTCGCTGCCCAGCACATCCTGCAGGAGGGTGTCCCGCAGAGCCATCGACGCTGGGGCCCAAGGTTCCCTGAACCCAGGCCCGTCTTCAGGGGCTCAGGGGGCTGAGGCTGCTGCAGCTGACACTCTGGAGGAGGCGAGGGGGTTTCTCCCCAGTGAGCCGGGGCCACCACCAGACACCAAGAAGGACAAGGCACAGAGGCAGGTCCAGCAGGGCTGGCTGAAGACGGTGCTGAATTTCATCTTGGGGATAGGCTTTGAGGAGTCCAAAGACAAGGCCCCCAGGAGGCCAAAGGAGAAGGAAGACGTCCTAGAGTCCCCAGAGATAGCCGAGGAGCTGACCCGCAGGAAGAAAGCCCAGGACAAGAAGGCCAGCTACAAGAAACACAGTCACAGAAAGCATGGTGCTGAGGAAGTGGAGGGGAGCCATGACCAGGAAGAAGGAAGCCGCCAGGCCCGGCTGCCCAAGATGGCTGCCACCTCGTACTCTGAGGAAGCCGAGGTGGCCCCAGTTTGTAAGGGTGAGCACAGAGCAGCCATCCCTGGGGTTACCCACTATCCCAGCCTGAGGGCCAGTGTGCTCTGAGCTCATTCCTTATGCCTCTCACCAGAAGGGACATGAACACTGGGGGGTTGTTTGTCTGAAGGAGAACAGCACCATGGCTGAGCTCTTGAGACCAAGCCACTTGGAGGCCCCACTGTCCAACAGCTGTGTTCTCTGAGCCTCAGTTTACTTTCCCTTCCACAAAGTGTGAATGAAACCATTGCTGCCTCCTGGGGCAGCCATGGCCCACGTGAGAGTGCGCAGTGGTTTTACATTACTAAGTTGTGTTCAGTTTGAGGAGCACAGGTGAAAAGTAGGAACATAGGGAGAAGTAGGAGGAACAGGGAGGTAAGACAGAACCTGAGCTCCATCAGGAATAAACTGCTGTGTGGGTTGAGTGCACAGCTGCCCTACAGGGCCCTGGTTCTGGGCCTGTGTAAGGAGTGATCTGGTCCCAGCTGCCTTGAAGGACACAGGGCCCGGCCTTGCACCAGAGCCCCACCGTGGTTTGATGGGAAGAAGAAAGCCCAGGAGGAGCCAGGATTTGGGGTGGGGGAAGTGTTTGAGAGGGTTCCTGAGGTGACCTGTGTCCTGCTTTCAAATCAAAATCTTGGCACTGTTTGGAATCTTTGGTTTAGGCTTTGAGCTAGCCGCAGCGTGTGGGCGGCGCTGCAGATTCTGTGCTGTTTTCTCCCGTGGACTGACAGAGGCAGAAGAATGTCACTGAGATAATCACCCACACTCCCACCCAATGTTTTCCAGGTGGACAAGATTCCAGCGGCCACCAGGCCTTGCCCTCCAGAGGCGCTGGCGCTGAACTCCGGGATAGTTCTCCCCAGGCCACAGGCTCCAGGCCAACAGAAGAGCCCAGGAAGCCTGCCGGTGAGTGTGAAGCCTGCACATCCTTTCTGTCCACGGCTGGTGGCTGTCACACACGTGCACGAATCTCTCTTGGCTTCCGCTGCTTCCGACCACATTCACTTATTTTAGGGTCTCACAGAAGGGTGGCATGGAAATTGGAGAGGGAAAGGCTCTCTTGCCTTCTGTGCTAACGGGAGTGGGGCTTCCTTTTTAGACTTGTGAAATGTATTTTATTTTAAAAATATACGGGCCAGTAAGGACTGAGGAGTGGCTCCGTGGTAGAGGGTCTGCTGAACATGCAGGAGGCCTGGTTCAATGCCCAGCATCATTAAAATAAAATGTACAGGAGAGTAGAAAGAATAGCTCAAAGCACATTTGGGTGGCCACAGTGGTTATCTATCTGCCAGTGCTCTGCATATGCATGGGTGTATTGTTTTATAGAATCGTTTTAGAATAAAGTAATTCTTCTCTACTTAGACAGAGGTCTATAAGAAATAAGGATAATGTCAAACATAACCACAGTACCATTATTCCGTCTAATAAAATCAATAATAATGCCCCAATCTCTAATTCTCTGTCTCTAAAGAGCCATATTTTGAGAGTCAGGAGGTAGCAAAGCTGGGCACGTGTCACAGGAGAGCTGCAGGGCACAACATCAGTTATTCTGTAGGATAGTTCCTTACTGAACAGGTAGTCAGCTGGAGACCCAGCCAGAGAGCAAGAAGCAGGACTGATACGTTTTGCGGGGAGGGAGGGAGGCAGAAAGAAATCGCAGCCAGCCTCGAGGACAGGGGAGCCTGTCTGTGGCTCTTGCTGGGCAAACAGTGGGCAGCAAGCAGAGGGCAGGCTGGGCACGCCGCCCCTGGTAAGGCCAGCGCAGGCACTGAGGAAGCTGTTCTATTGTCTGTGGCTCCTTGGAAGCTGGGATGTTGTGCTCAGGCCTTCTGACCATGTTCCCTCATTCCCCTCAGCCAGGCAGGGTGAGGGGTGCTTCATTCCCCTATTGGAATCCTACAACTTGGAAGATCAGCTTTAGTCTTGAGAGGTGTTTCCAGGCCCCAGGGATGTAATCCTCATTCCCAGGAAAAGGGCTGAACGCCCCGAGGTGTTAAGAGACTTTCCTAAAGTCACACAGCTCCCAAAACCCAGAGTGGATGCTCAGAGGCAGGGGAGGTTGAGAGAAATTAGTGGGATTTCCTATACTAAATGTCACGCTTTAGCCACAGCCCCTGGGGTGCGCAGCTTTCCCCCTGCTTTCCGTGGCTGTCCCTAGGGCTGCCCCCCATTCCCCTTGGGAGAGAGGCCCTGGCTGGTCTTGGAAGTCCCCGGACAGCTGTAGAAACAGCGCTGAGGGCATTCGGGAGTGACGGGCGGGCGGTGCTCCCTTCCAGAGGATGACGTCATCCGGATGATCGTGGAATTCCTCGAGAAAGTGGGCGACCAGTGCGAGGAGGAGGTGAGCAGCGCCCCAGCAAGCCCGCACGCGTCCTCCTCCGTGGAGTCCCACTTAAGCTCCTCCCTGCGCCCCTTGCCTGGGGCGACACTGCTGGGCTGGGCTGCTCTCTGTAAGGACAGCAATCTGATGCAGTTTCCCTCCCGCTCCCCACGGCAGCCTCCAGCCCCCCAGACAGAAGCACTGGTGAGAAACCCAACCTACGGCTGTAGGAGGAAGCCCCAGGAGAAAAAGGCAAGCAGCCTCAAGAGAGCCTTGTCCCTGAAGAAGTGCAGCCCAGAGCAGCCCAGGAGAGTGGGCGCTGCCTCCAACGTGCCCAGCCTTGAGGCCCGGCCCCCCAAGAGGCCCAGCTTCCTGCCCCTGTGCGTGGGTGGTGGCCAACGCCCCTCCACCTCCAGCAGCCCGGGTGAGCAGGCTCTGGCGGTTGCCATGGTAACACTGCAGGGCTCCAGCGCCTTCTGGGGCTGGGATTGGCTGTGTTCAGGTCTTCCGTCCCCATTCCAATCTGCAGCAAGGAGGTGGAGGGAACGATAGCCGCCTGGTCATCTCCCCACTCGGTCCCTGAGGGCCAGGTCACCCACCAGATCCCTGGGTGGGAACGGTGATAGTGATCGCCAACCACGCCCCTCTCTGCAGCCTCGGCTTCCTCATCCCACTTCTGGGAGCTCTGTCGTGTCTGGAGAACACATCTCCAAATCTTCTTTTCCCTGCACTTCCGCATCTCAGCTGTCCTCTCTGCCGTCTTGGGAAGCACAGTTCTTACCCCCTCTGACAGATGAGGCAATGAGGCCAGGGAGGTGAGGGCTGTGTCCAAGGCTGCAGGGCTCCTCAGTGATGGAGCCAGAGCTGGGTGACCTTGGGTTATGTGGTGGTGCCGTGGTCCTGGCCCAGGGGCGCAGCTTAGAGAAGGGTGTGTGGGCTTCAGGGAGTGTGGGAAGGGTTTTCCTGCCCGGTCCATGATTCCTACCACCAGCTCAGGCTTCTGCTGGCCAGGCAGGCACTGTGCCACCGAGCTCATCCCCGGCCCCGCCTCTGCTCTTCATTTGCCTTTGATCTGTGATGGGGGATGGGGCCCTGGGACAGCAAGGCCCAAGGAAGGTCAGCCCTCGAGGCCCAGGGGTAGGGGAGCTGCTGTAGTTCACCTGAGGTTCTCACCAGCCAGGCCGCCCACCCGCAGTGCAGTGGGACCTTCATGGGACCTGGTCACGGTGCCTACCACAGAGTCAGGGCCACCCCCAGATCCACAGGAGCCAGCCAGAATCCTGTTCTGCTTGCTAGGCTGCGAAGGAGCGGGAGCCCACGAGGCCTGGACTACGGACGGTGGTGGACCCAGTCCTTCTGAGCTCCCCACCCGTGCTGGGTGCCGGGGACCCAAAGAGGAGCTGCCGCTGGACAGAGCCTCGGAGTCCAGTCAGTACCCTGCCTAGTATGCTCTCAGAGACCCCTTAGGAAACTCCTAGCCTCAGCCCTGCCCCGGGAGAAAGAAAACTGAGTCAGAGAGAGGGAGGGGCCTGTCCAGACTGCACAGAGCTTCGCTGATTGCTCTGATCTGTTTTAGATGACTTCTTGTGGCAGGCAGCACAGGCCCTTTCTGGGCCTCAACTGTCACTGACAACAGGTGTCACTTGGGGGAGGCAGACAGCTGAGGGTGTGTGTGCTGGGGCACAGCCACAGGGCATCAGGACTCTGTGGACAGCGTGACCCTGAGGGTCTAGGGTCCAATCTTCCCTCTCACCACTTCAAGCCCCATGGTCTGGTCATAGGCAGCCACTTCACCTAGCATCTCAGTTTCCCGTCTGGAAGATGGGGACAATCATGGAACTTTCTGGGGTTGTCAGAGGATCAAATGGTGAGGCTGGGCCAAAGGGAGCTGCTGACCCGGAAGCTGCCATCACCCGTAGGATTTTATCCTTGGCAGAGCCGAACCTAGACTCGTGACTGCAGTCAGCTCCTTGAACGGCACTGGCTAGGCCCTGGCTGCTGGTGACCAGGAGGAAGGGTTTGGGCGGGGGCGCTGTGACAGTGACTGCTGAGGCCTCCTGGGTCAGGTTCCCAGGAAGCCAGCTCCACCCTCAGGCTGCCTCTGACAGCTCCGTAGCACCCCAGGGGGCTGGGCTGTGCAGCCCTGGCCACTCTTGACCCTGACAAGCACCTGGAAGCTACCAGGTTGGTAGGGAGCAAAGCCTGACCGCACAGAGCTTCGCTGATGGCTCTAATCTGTTTTAGATGAGTTCTTGCGGAAGATCCTCATGCTGCTTGGTGAGGAGGAAGAACCCGCAGGCGAGCAGGTGAGGGGGGCATCCCTGAACCCCCAGCCCTCATAGGTGCTCATTGCCCCTCCTGGTGCTGCCTTTCCTGTGCTCCCCTGACTCAGTTTCCCTCATCTCCACAGCAGCCTCAAGGGCAGGAGGCAGAGGCAGCCGGAGAAAGCCAGGCCCAGGCCATGAGGAGAAAACCCCAGGAGAAAAAGCCCAGCAGCCTACGGAGAGCCTTTTCCTATAAAAGACACAGCTCCAAGGAGCCCAGGAGAACGGGGGCTGTGGAGACTGGGGGGGCTGTCACCCCTGATCCCCGGCCCCCCAAGAGGCCCAGCTTCCTGCCCCTGTGTGTCAGTGTCCACCGGGCCTCCATTCCCAGCAGCTCTGGTGAGCGGGCCTGGGGTTACCATGGTGGTGGGTGTTTGCGTCTGGCTTCTGCTTTCTGCTCTGGCTAAGTGGCCAGGGACTGTCTGGCCACACTGACGCCTGAGGACCGCGGGTACACAGTGGCTCCCCGGCCTCATGGAGCGCCTACTGTACCCCACTATCTCATGCATCGCATTCAAGCCACTCGCACCCTGTGAAGTCCAGCCTCCTCCTTCCACCTGACAGAGAGTGTGAGCTTCAGACTGGCCGGGTGACCCTGCCCGGCCCTGCAGCATTGAGGAAAAGTGCTCGCTGGGTGGACCTGCTGGCGTGGCTGTTTACTTTTTGAACTGCCCTACTGCAGACTGGGAGGTTCTGAATCGGTTGCAGATGCTCACATCGGTACTTTTGCCCTCAGATGAAGAAGACCTGGAGTCCCAGGAGCCCTTGGCCACAGAAGGGGCAGCCTCTGGGTTCCCCAAAGCGGCCTCCCAAGCCAGCAGCTGCACGCCGGACGGGGGCCTTCAACTTCCTCAGGAGGGAGCGTGCACGTCTAGTCAGTACCTCCCCTGCTCCTGGGGTCCTCGCTTGTGTGTGGTCTGTGGGCTGAGCAGGGATGAGTGAGTCCAGAGGGAGCTGAGAAGGCAGCTGACAGACCCTGGGCGGCCAGGGACAGAGGGTGCTCTGTAAACTGGGGTCACCAGGCAGGACTGCAGGTGGAAAGCCACCTGTCCTAGGTGGAGACCCTCTCTCTTGTGGGTTTGCCTAAACAGTACATATAAAACCCTGGTTTAGCCAGGCATGGTGGTGCAAGCCTGTAACTCCAGCACTGTGGAGGCTGAGGCAGGAGCATTGCTGTGAGTTCAAGGCTAGCCTGGGCTACGTGGCGAGACCCTGTCTCCAAAAGCCAAAGCCCTAGCTTGCTCTGCTCTGGTAATCATGCTGTGTGGGCAAATCGATGGTGCGTGTGTGGTCTGTGGAGCTTGTAGATATCAGTGGTATGAACATCTCCAGCTGGTCAATCGCCAGCTGTCAAGAGTCAGCAATGGCGGCTCCGTACACCTCTTACCTAATGGCCATGACCATGGTGTGAGCCCCTGCACACCAGGCGGGCTGGTAGCCCAAGGAGAGGAGGCATTCCTGGGTCAGCACTTACAGGTCCCCTCCTCACGTTCTGATCGCCAGCTGGGTTGTGACGGTATTCTAGTGTGGTGGCGGGGCAGCGCCCGCATGCAGCGCCTCAGCCTTCCTCCTTCCCTCCTTTCCTTAGAGGAGCACACCATCTACAAGCTGGTGCAGCTTCTCCAAGAAGTGGACGGCGAGCTGGGGAAGCAGGTGAGTGCGGCCCACCCTCCCCGCCTGGTGCAGCACCTCCCCCGCCCACCCCTGACGCCTGGGTTCCTTGCCATCTCTGTCCCCATGTTGGGCATGTCTCTTCACTTCTCTGAGATGCAGTTTTGCAGAATAGGGGGTGTATTGGTCAGCTTTCTAAGCTGGCTCCAAGGTAAAAGCACCGTGGAGGAAGGGACTGATGGAGCACAGCTGCTTCGTTCATGGTGGCCAGGAAGTGAAGCAAGGGAACAGGGCCAGAGAGGAAGTGGGGGAAACGCACGCCATCCTGGCTGTGCGTGGCTGCAGCAGGGAGAGGCCCCACCAGCAGTGCTAATGGCGGCCTGCATTTCTCCTTCCAGATCCGGAGACACCCCAGCTTTAAGAGGTTGTTTTACGAGTTCTCGGACTCCTCCCTCAGAAAGCTGGTGGCCATCCTGCGCAGCCAGCGGGTCCACCCGGCAGATGGGGACCGAAACCTCCCCAAGAGATCATTCCCACTTGCCTTTGGCCTGGCTAACAAATACGCCGACAGCCACAGCCGCACCTTCTGCAGCCTAATGGGTTCCCGAGGCCACTACAGCCAGCACGGCGGAGCCCAGGCCCTGGCCAGGGAGGCCCAGCCGGTAAGAGAAAGTGAAAGACGGTGGCAAGTGGCAGCACAAGGGACAGCGGGGCCTGGGCAGCCCTCTGCTCAGTTGAGAATTCATAGGATTGTATTCAAATGCCACTGCCTCACGAGCGCCTCCAGGGACATTTCTAAAACTCAGGACTCTTCCCAGAGTCGCTGATGCTACCCTGGCTAGCATCTGCCGTCCTGGCTGTAGGCATCTGCTTCCACATTTTTTGTGTTTTCTGCTGTGTGACTTCTCTGTTCTAGACTGTTGTAAAATTTAAATAACAAACGAAGGAAGGTTATACTTCAAATAAGGGGTGATTGGGAAGAGGACTCCATGGGCTGTTGGTTTTGGAAGGATTCCAGTGGCCAGCAGAACCATGCCAGCCATGGCCAAGAAATGTGAAATGGGCTGTCAGCCCCTCCCACTCTTTTTTGTTTTTCTCTCTCGTTCGTTTTCTTTCTTTCTTTTTCTTTCTCTCTCTCTTTCTTTTTTTCTCTTGCTCTCTCTCTTGTTTCTCCTTCCTTCCTTTCTTTTTTTTCTTTCTCCCTGCAGTACTGGAGATTGAACACAGGGCCTTCACACTGAACTATAATCCCTGGCCCCTTTTTTAAAATTACTTTTTGAGACGGTCTCACTAAGCCTCTAAATTGCCCAGGCAAGGCTCAAATCTGCAATTTTCCTGCCTTAGCCTCCCAGAGCGCTGGGACCATAGGTGTTCATTGTCGTACCTGGTTATTTTATAACTTGCCCTCCTGTCCTGCCTGAGGCCCCCTACAAATACTCTGAGACTTTCTTGTTGAAGATAACACTTGACACTGAAAATTCTGGGGTTAAGGCTGGGGATGTAGCTCAGCAGCATAAGGCCTGCCTGGCAAGTGCAAGGTCCTGAGACCAATTCCTGATACCAAAATTTAAAAATATGTTAAATAAAAATTCTGAGCAAGGTTCCATGGCTTCCAGTGGACTCTGATGAGCAAATCTCTTCCTTTTCTGATCCACTTAAGATAATCTGACTTGGGCTGGGGAGATAGCTCCGCAGTCTATGTGTATGCCTGGCAAGCACAAGGACCCAGGTTCAATCCCCAGTCCTGCGTGCTGTGCTGGCCCTGCACTGAGCCAGCCACCAAAACCGGGTATGGTGGAGCATGCCTATAATCCCAGTGCTGGGGAGGCTGAGACAGGAGGATCACTACAAGTCTGAGCTGCATAGCAAGACCCTGTGCCAAATAAATAATAAAAGATTTTTTTAAAAAAAGATAAGCCGACTCTGCAGTCAGCCCAGCCCACAGAGCAGAGCTCCTAAAGGGAGGTGAAGCTTTAAAAGAACGAGAGTCATTCTCTTTGGTTCTGTTGGACAACAGGACTAGGACTCGTGCATGCAAGAGGGCCCTGGGAGAGCAAACCCTTTGCAAGGACTCTTTAGTCTCTCACCATGTTTTTGTCTTCCTGTGAAGACAGGGTTGGCAAAATCCCTCTAGAAAGCTGGTCTTACTTTATAGTAGTTGGAACTCACAGGCATGCTGCTCTATGTGAGCTGATTTTCCGGGTGTAGACATCGCCCTCCTTGGTCCTCCTAGGCCTCTCTTTTCTTGACTTCTAGCATAAGGTTGTCAAGTATAATTTGTCCTCTAGGGTGGGTTAGATAATATCTTCAGGACTAATCTAAATTCTTGGTAAAAGAAGCTACAGAAATTTCAGATTTCAGTTGACATTTTCCGTAGTCCTGAGTCCAGCTCTTGGTTTTGCCATTCATTCATTCATTCATTCATTCATTCATTCATTCATTCATGCATTCATTCATGTATTCACTCACGCATTTGTGCAGTTGAGTTGCTGGCAAGGCCTGGCCTTCAAGGACTCACCTGTTAGTGGAAGGGACAAATGTTTACCCAGAACAAAGTTTAATAGCAGCCAAATGCCACACAGCCAGCAGCAGAGGTGGGGAAACAAGTCAGTCCTGGGAGGCTCCCAGGAGGTGCTGGGTGTTGAATTTAGTCAGCAAGGATGGGGAGGCGGCGGGTGGGGAGGGAGGACGGGTCGCCCCTGTAGCTGCTGTGGCTGCCAAGTGAAGACTCACTGAGCACTCTGGGCTGGGTTGACTCTGGTGTCCTCTTCCTGTCCCAGAACCTCACAAGTCCCGGATGTCAAAGTCCAGATTAAGAGTGATGCCTGGACCTCTGGTTCCTTTGATCCAGCCAAACACTTGGGACCTCTGGCCAGGACCCTGAAGCCGCTTCCTGACTTCCCAAACCCGAGCCTCACCAAGTCCCTGAAGACCACACACCGCTGCCTGAGAATGTGTGAAGCTTCAGCCCCAAAGCTGCCCTAAGAGGCCACACCGGAAGCCGGCTCTGGACCGGAGCGAGAAGACCCCAAGGTGGCACTGGACCTGTGGCCAGGCGAGGCACTGGCCCCTTCTTCGTGGCCCTTGAGTTCGGACATCCTGCAGAAGGCCTGCGATGTCCTTCCCCACCCCCAGTCCTGTAATTCTGTGACCAGAGAGGTGAAGCCGACGCCTGTACGTCTCGTAGGACTTGCTAAGAGCCAGTGAGAAAACAGATGTAAAGGGCTCTAAGAGCTATACAGTGTCATGTCGTGTGCACAGTTAGGGTATTTTCGTTAGCGCTACCTCTGGCTGGTTTTCAGGAAGCAGAGGAGGGCTTCAGCAAGAGTACTGCATGTGAAAGGCTGCAGTACATCCTGGGCAAAGTGGAGTTAGAGATTGATGAGGACAATTTTCCAGCTGGTGGCAGTAAAGGGTCTTGAAAGGGGCTCTTTTTTATTTCTTCCTCCTCCTCCTCCTCTTCCTTCCCCTCCTCCTCCTCCTCCTCCTCCTCCTCCTCC